GGTGTGAGGGGTGGGTTGCCCGCCATCTTCCCCGTTCCTCACCTGGCAGCCGGGCCGCAGGGCCAGGGCAGCGTACCAGGCGTCGTGGCGCATGGCCCACAGCCGCCCGCGCTCCTCCGGCTCCTCTGCCCAGGCCAGCCTGGAGCCGCCGTTCAGCTGCACGATCTCCTCTGCCGGTGGCCAGCAGCCCTGGGATGGGGCCAGGACGGGACCCCCGGCAACCCCCGGGGCACCCAGCCCTCACCCCAGGACCCCCCACTCCCCATCATGGGCATCCTGACCCCCCAGTTCCTTGTCTCTGGGCACCCATCCATCATCCTTGAATCCCCCTGGTCCCCTTGTCCCCCATCCCTGGGCACCTCTTGACACCCCCCCATCATTCCCCGGTCCCCAACATGGGCATCCATCCCAGGACACCTCTGGTCTCTTCTCCCTTGTCCCCCACCCATCACCTTGGATGCCACAGGTCCTTCCTGTCTCCAGGACACCTCAGTGGGGGCTCCAGCACCCCTGGGACCATGGGGAGTCCAGTCCCCCAGGGGCACCCCTGGTGAACCCCAGTCCCCATCATGGGCATCCATCCCAGGAAACCCCTGGTCCCCCTGTTCCTTGTCCCTGGACGCCCATTCATCATCCTTGGATCCTCCTCGTCCTCTTGTCCCCCATCCCCAGGCACCTGGTGACACACACCCCCCCGTCCTCATCCTGGGCATCCATCCCAAGACACCCCTGGTACCCTTGTCCCTGGGCACCCACCCATCACCCTTGGATGCCCATGGTCCCCGCCCTGTCCCCAGGCATCTGGGGCCCTCAGCAGACCCCTACCCAGCCCTCTCTCTGGTGCTGGTGACCCACCCTGTCATTTCCCTGTCCTGGGCACCCGTTCCTGGCTGTAGTCACCCATCCTTCATCCCTGGACACTCCTGGTCCCCCCGTCCCCTGTCCATGAGCATCCATCCACATTCTCACCCCGAGGTCCCCCAATTCCCAGCCCTGGGCACCCATCCCTCACCCTAGTGACCCCAAGGTCCCCCTGCCCCAGGTTCTGGGCACCCATCCCTCACCCCAGGACACCCCTGGTCCCTGTCCATGAGGCACTCATCCACAACCATGGGACCTCCCGGGACCCCGGTCCCCCAGCCCCTGGTCCCCTGTCCACGAGAACCCATCCACATCCACGGGACCCCTGTTCCCAGCTCTGGGCATCTGTTCCTCACCCTGGTGACCCCAAGGTCCACCTGCCCCGGGTCCTGGCACCCATCCCTCACCCCAGGACATCCCCAGTCCCCTTGTCCCAGGTCCTGGGCACCTGTCCCTCACCCCAGGACACTCCTGGTTCATGAGCACCCATCCACATCCACGGGACTCCTGCCCCAGCTGTTCCTCACCCTGGTGAACCCAAGGTCGTCCTGCCCCAGGTCCTGGCACCCATCCTTCACCGCAGTGCCATACCATGACCTCCCAGCACCATCCTTCACCCCAGAACGCCCCTGGACCCCCCCATCCCCTGTCCCTTAGCACTTGTCCCCAGGGTTCCCCCAGCCCGGGCCACCCATCCCTGGTTCTGGGACCCCCAATCCCCTTCTCCCACCACCCCCCATGTCCCCACGCCGTGCCCTGTGCCGGTGCCATCCCTACCCGCCTGCTGCTGCTGCTCGGCCAGGCCGTTCCGGGAGCCGTGGAGCTCCAGGAGGAGCGTGGCCGCCACTGGCAGCTCCATCTTGCTGTAGCGGCTGCAGGCGCCCACCATCACCTCATCCAGGAACTCTGGGTGGGAGGAGACGCTGCTGAGCCCCATCGCTGGCCACCCCCTCCCTCCCCGACCCCGATCCCCCTCTCCCCACTGCTGGGTACCCACCGATGCGAGCCACGGGCACGGCGGCTTGCAGCACCTGGACGGTGCAAGCCACGGCCGCCCGCACGCTGGGGAAGGAGGCGATGGTGACGGCGGCCGCCTCGGGCAGGGGGTGCAGGCGCAGCGTGGCCTGCGTCAGGAAGCCCAGGGTGCCCTCGGAGCCCACGAAGAGCGAGGTCAGGTCGTAGCCAGCCGCCCTCTTCCTGCACGGAGACGGTGACCATGGGGACACCGCTGCCGGCCACTGCCCGGGATGGCCTGGTAGCCCTGGGATGGCCTGGTCCCCTCCCCGGGGCACCCACCTGGGCTGGCGGCCGGGCCCGGCGGTGTGGAGGAGGCGCCCGTCCGGCAGCACCACCCGTAGGTTGAGGACGTTGGGGCGCATGGTGCCGTACCGCACGGCGTTGGTGCCCGAGGCCCCCGTGGCCGCCATGCCGCACAGCGAGGCGTCCGCCCCGGGGTCTGCAGGTGGGGGGACGGGGGCCATGGGGGACGTCCCCATGGGATCCCATGACAAGCCAAGGATGGTAGCCCAGAGGACAGCCTGGCACTGCACCAACCCCAGTGTGGCCCAGGGACCGTGGGGACCCTACCACTCACCCCTGGGACCATGGCACCCACTCCCACAGAGGCCTTCCTGGGACCAGAGCACCTCAATGGGCACCCCAGCAACCCTAGGACCATGGCACCCACTCCCCCAGGGGCACACCTGGGACCAGAGCACTTTGGTGGGGGCCTAGCACCCCTGGGACCACGGCACCCACTCCCCCAGGGGCCTCCCTGGGACCAGAGCATCTCAATGGGGACCCCAACAACCCTAGGACCACGGCACCCACTCCCCCATGGGCACACCTGAGGAACCCCTGGGACACTGAACTTCAGTGGTCACCCCAGCAACCCTAGGACCATGGCACCCACTCCCACAGGGGCACCCCATGTGAAACCCTGGGACCAGAGTACATCAGTGGTGACCCCAGAAACCCAAGGACCATGGCACCCACTCCCCCAGGGGCCTCCCTGGGACCAAAGCACCTCAGTGGGGACCCCAGCAACCCTAGGACCACGGCACCCACTCCCCCAGGAACACCCCTGGGACCAGAGCACTTCAGTGGGGGCCTAGCACCCCTAGGACCATGGCACCCACTCCCTCAGGGGCCTCCTTGGGACCAGAGCACCCCAGTGGGGACCCCAGCCCTCCCGCACCCCTGGCACACACATGGGCACTCCCAGCATTCCCATCCCCAGCATTCCCAGTGTCATGAGGACTGCAGCACTGCTGGGACCACAGCCCCCCCGGGGGGACTTCCAGCACCTTTGGGACCATGGCACTCCATGGAGACCTCAACACCCCTGGCACCCCAGCACCCCATGGGGACCTCAACACCCCTGGCACCCCAGACCCCAGCCCCATGGACACCCCAGCAGCCCCAGGGACAGCAGCACACGTGGGGACACCCAGCATCCCTGGGACCACAGCATCCCTCAACCTCCCGGGTAGGCTGGCACCCCAGTTCCACAGCCACCCCAATGGCCTTCCTCCCCCTTGGCTGCCCCCCGATGCCCCGGCACCCACGTTACCGACGGGGAACCAGAGTCCCGTGCCATGCAGGTGGCGGTTGAGGGCCTTGCGGGTGACACCGGGCTCCACCGCCACCGTGAAGTCCTCCAGGCTCAGCTCCGCGATGGCGTCCATGCGGCTCAGGTCGAAGCAGACGCCGCCCTGGCACGGGGACACCATGGCTGGGCACGGCGGGGCACTGAGAGACCCCCCCCAACCTCTGGGGGTGCCGGGGGGTGGGTGGCCATACCTGCACGGCGTTGACGCCCCCCTCCAGGCCGGTGCCGGTGCCGAAGGGCACCATGGGGACACGGCAGCGGTAGCAGAGAGCTGCCAGCTCCTGTACCTGCCCCACCGACTGGGGCCACACCACGGCATCCGGGGGAGCACACCTGGGGGACGGGGGGGCACTGCTGACCTACAGACCTCCCACACCCCTAGACCCTTCCCCTCCCCAGGACCCTTCCCCTCCACAGACCCTTGTCTTCCTCATGGCCCTTCCCTTCTTCATGGCCCTTCCCCTCCCCAGGACCCTTCCCCTCCACAGACCCTTGTCTTCCTCAGGGCCCTTCCCTTCTTCATGGCCCTTCCCCTCCCCAGGACCCTTCCCCTCCCCAGGACCCTTCCCCTCCCCAGGACCTTTCCCCTCTCCTCCTTCCCCTCTGCAGACCCTTCCCCTCCCCAGGACCCTTCCCCTCCACAGACCCTTGTCTTCCTCAGGGCCCTTCCCTTCTTCATGGCCCTTCCCCTCCCCAGGACCCTTCCCCTCCCCAGGACCCTTCCCCTCCCCAGGCCCTTTCCCCTCTCCTCCTTCCCCTCTGCAGACC